ACGGCTCGCTATGAAGAAAGCGCCGATTATGTTAACCCACTTTAAGTAATAGAAACTAACTCGCGCTTTGCGATATTCCAAGGATGAATTGCTAGCAAGCTCCAAATAGGCATAAGATATCCAACCGCTCCAAGAGAGCTTACAGAGGAGGCGGCAATTCTATAGAGAGGGGCGAAGCACGCGACGGCAACTGTCGTATAAACATTTCCACGTAAGTGTATAACGCGTGATGCGAGCCCACCTGGTCTCGAACCTAAGTAATACGTAATGCTTATTCTATACAAGATAATTTTGAAAACTTATAATACAAATGTCACGATCCGGCCTCCGGGGTCAACCGTCGGGCCGGGCTTCGGGGTTGCTGTTCTGCGAAGTAGGTAAAGCTCAAGCAATATCACAACTGGTCGAATGTCGTTCTCTCTCTGGGGTTGTCGTGTCTCTGGGAAGAGATACCAGTCTCGGCAATTGAGTGACTAGTCCAAGTGCGGGTGAGAATGGTACTTAGATTGATCGCTGAAGTGCAAAGGTAATGACTGTCTGTCTAGGAAATCCTCCTGGCTATATGCGCCTTTGTCCTTCATCGTATGCTTGTAGCGCCGACAGCCTTCTGTCGCAAGGCCGACACATGAGTGTTGGCCTCCCTGCCTGATGACTAAGGTCCTTGCTTACATAATTGTCCCGTGACCCTTCGCAGTCCTGCCCTTGTCCATGGCCCGATGCTGCGGCCTTGTTTGTCCTGCCTCGCAGCCCAAACAACCCCCTGTTGGTCCGAGTCGTCACATTATCCCCTTCCTCCCCTGGCGCTGCCCTCAGCAACACAAAGAGGTTCGTCCTTTCTGGCCCACGCAACCTGGCCATTTCCTTCCTTCTTTAACTAACCATGTCCACCCAAGGTCCCGTCCGAAACCCGCGTTCTCGACATCGCCAGAGCTTCATTTCCGAGCGTTCTGCCTGTGCTCAGTTCTCTCGAAGATCCAGCCATGCCGTGCACTCGGTGCTTTCGTGCTGGTTCAGGTATGTCTTGTCGTATGGCGGCGGACTCCAACCGTTGCGAGCGGTGTATCCGTGACAAGAAGCAGTGCGATGGCGTTGCCGTTGCTTCTTCGCTGTCTCGTGTTCTCCAGACTCAGCGTGAGTTGGAGAAGGACGAAGATGCGGCGGGGAAGAAATTTTCGCTCTCCAGGAGGAGATGAACCGTCTCCAACAGAATCTGGGTTTATCGTTGGCCCGTCTTCGCCGTATCCGGACCCTGAAAAGGAACGCGGAGTCCCGTGGCAAAGAGCTATTTCAGCGGGGGATGATAGAGCCGGATCGTGAGGACGGGATTCTCCCCGCACTCGACGCCCACGAGCTGGAGCTGACTTCCGAGTTGGTGTCGATGGAGGTCCCTCCTGATTTTGACTAGTCGACTGCCGGGGTCGATCCTTTCGTTGAAATTCCTTCAGCATCTGCTGACATCCCTTCAAGCTTGCCATAGGTGTTACTGCGCTGCCGTTTGCTGCCAAGCGCACTACGACAACGGTAACGATAGTCAATCGCCGTCCAAGCAACAGAAGCAGCATAGTTAACGCTACCTATCTTGCCGAGCAGCAGCGGCTCCGACGTCCGATGTATGGGTGAGCAGCGAAAGCGCAGCCGCGACGGCACGCAGGACAGGATCCATCTTCTTTAGCGGCGGTAGCGACGACTATTGACCCTCGACGCAAGGAAACCTGGCCGGAAAGGCGCCAGTGACGGCCGCGGGGCGAGACGCGGGCTGCTCATTGCCCACGCTAACGTCTCCGTACTTCTCCGGTGACTCCATGGTATCGTTGGCAGCAGGAGCAGCAGCGACGTCGACTGGCGCAGGGAGCACGGTGCGGGGGCCAGAGACGGCGAATATTTGGGTAGCCCCTCCATTATTAGCGAAGGCATCGTGAGGGGCGAGGCGACGGTAACGTATTGGTCTCGCTGCTGTTGCTGCTGTTGCTGGAACTGGTGATTACGGTAAGCGAAAAGCTCCCGCTCCACGACAAGATGTGAAGGTGGAAAGAAAAGGACGCAAATGAGTTCATCGAAGCTAAAACATAGAGTTGGAAAATCGAGCTAGCCTTGGACGTAAAAGGTCGGGGTTGTTTTGGTCATGCGAGCAACATTGACGGTGATATTATATGCAGTGTCGATCCGTACGGCTCCGATCGGAATAGAGGTCTGGGATAGCACGTATCTGCCACCCGACTTCCTAACACTGAGCCATTGTATCACCAAGCTATATACTCTTGCTAGATCTACAGGAAGGTGCTACAATGTTCCTATTGAGCATGGATCGAGGACAGGTCCCTCCAGCAGGCATGCCGCAAACGGAGCTCCATGGTCATAGTCTGGAATGCTGTTGAGGAAGGGTGAATCACATGATGCCTGCCCCAGAATGATTTCTTCCTACCTGTCAGATCTTCGATCATCATCTTCGGGATCTTATCATGGTACTTCTTCAAGATCCTTCCGTTGAAACCCTTCTCGGTCCAACACATTGTCAGGTAGTGTGGCCCCCTGGATCTCACTACTTTCAACCCTCAACATTCCGGTAGGGGGCTTCGGGCTTGCCTCCAAGCTTCCTTCGAAATCGACCTCCTCTGGATCTTTCCCTGCCCCGACCTCCCGCATCATTCTCAGAACGGGGCGTACACGCTTGGTCTTCAAGAGACCGGGACAGCTATCGATGAGAGCTGTATTCCAGTCGAACATAGTGGCATCCTGCAGTTTGTCGCTGTACGTGAAGCCACGCACTAGTTCAGAGAGTCTTGGATAGTTCTTGAAGACTTTGGCAAGTTTGTTGTTTCGCCATTCTTTCTCCTTGATGACTTCCGTCGGCACCAGGACCGTGTGTATCTTTTTCTTTTCAACAAGGTTCAGAAATTCCCATGCCGAATACATGTCGACAGCAACGTTGAACTGATTGGTCAAGATGTTGAGATTGCCGTAAATGTAGCAAGCCATAGCTGTGGCGCTCTCCATGGGCAGATCGTTCTCAACCCACTTGAGAGCTTCGGTGAAGGGTCCGCCTATGGCCGCGCGCGGGCCTGTATCCTTTCTATGAAGCAGAGCGTAGACTAGTGGGAGAGCTTTCCTCAGCTTACTTTTCTCGGCTGTAGTTCGTTTCTCTTCACGCAGAGCGTTTTCCTCCTCTATGAGCTGATCAAATGAGAGGACGATGTCGGCCTGATTGGAAGCTCGTCGTTTGTCATCTTTCACCTGAATGTAGTCGTTCCACACGCCGAGTATGAGCCCTTCGCGCTCTTCGCCATCGTTTGACTTCAAGGCATTGTCGAGCCGCTTCTTCAGAGCCTCATCTTCTCGAAATGCCCATGTGTAATCATGTTTGTGGCCCTGGTGTCTCATTCCTGGTGATATTTTCTTCATTGAATCTTCGTCCGTGTAGAACTGGTAGCGATCTCGAGGTATGTCGAGATCGTCCAGAAGGGTCGTCCAATAGTGCGCAATGAGCCTGATATAGGTACTTGCAATGGACTTAAAATGGCTGCCATCGGCCTCAAAAAGTCGGTCTGGCTTGCTGAACCACTCCTCCGCGATCTCTTGCTTGATTTCCGTAACCCATTTCGGCTTTTCTGTAAACGGTGTCAACATGCGTCTTATGACTTCGTTGTTATCGACCTCTCCGTTCGGTCGCTTAGTGTACTCTGAAACGGCGTTGTACACTTCAGGGTAATGACTACCATAGCACTTAACAGTGAGGTCGACAGGCCTAGGCGAGAGAATGACACAAACACGTCGACGTGGGTTGCGCCGAATGATGGAGAGAACCATAAACCAGTTATCAGGGTCGGGACAGTCAACAAAGACCAGAAACTTCTTTTGCGACTTCTTGGAGTGCTCTATCTGATTTGAAGCCATGACTACTGATTTCGGAAGAGGCCGCACGATACTGGTAGGTCCTAGTTTTGCTGGGCGGTTACTGAAATGCAAGTACACCTGGCGTTTAAGCTGGCCTTATATGTACTGAAACGTCGTAGGCGTGAGTGTTTGTTAGAGTTACTTTATTCTAATAGGCGTCCCTTGCCGGTGATAGGTCTAACAATCCAATTACCTAGAATCTACATGATCGGCCACCTTCCCTCGGCATACTTGAAAGACATTCCACAAACAATAGACTTGACGTTGCATCACAAACAGAGCTAGACAGGGGTGCTTTGGGCAAGATAACAATGCAGAAGCTTTTGCAAATATACGTGGAATTCCCAAGGTTAGATGGGAATGCGGCTTGGTTGCAGATAACTCAGGTTAGTCAAACGAGGAGACGGTGACCCCTTCCCCAGCGCATCATTTTAAGCATTTCTTAAACGTGTAGAGGCGAATGCGGTCCCGTGTAACTGGCAGAGACTATAGAAACAAACAAATCCCCCAGGCTCCTCACTCAGCCATGAGCCATGATGTTGCTAGTTGCTGTCACCAGGTGATGCTTGATTTTTGCGTATTACCAAGCAAATGCACTGGGTCGTGACTTATCTAACATGGGCCTGCCATTGTCCTACAGTTTGACTCGTGTTCGCTAAAAACGATTGAACTTAATAAGCCTGACCCCACCAAGAACACAAGAAATGCACATCACACGCATCGTGGGCACAATCGTCTCGTTACTGATTCTGGGTCGCCTATGGCTAATGTACCGTGGAACAGACGGGGTTACACTCCTTTCGGCTAGTGAGTCGGACGTATGAAGGACAGATCTTGCAACCCTCGGATTTGTGCGTCGAGCCGGTAAAGATGGACATATCAGGCTCTCGTCAACCTTCAAATACACACAAAGCTGTGTCCAGCTTTCTCGCGATCTACCCGTCGACAGAAGGAATGTCACGAGGGTTGCCCTACGGCTCGTCGCGGAGTCCATCGAGGCAAGGCTAGATCAACCCGGATCTCTGCAGATAGAGCCGTGCGATGCGATTCTCCTACCATTCGAAAATGCATACCCACGATCAGCCAAAGATGAAGACCTGGCATTCGGTATGGCCGCGTCTTTGGTTCGTCTAAGTCAGAGCGTCGACTCGATTGCTCATTGGACCTCTGACCGGGGCACACTCCTCGTCGTGGTGATCGAAGACTACATCGGGCATGAGGACGAAGTCGCCGACCTGCTTGTACAGTTTCACAGCCTCAAGATCAACGCCATCTTCATACCGCCCATCGCCAGCAACCATTCCATGTCTCAATCACATTTTGCAGTTCTCAGCAAGATGCTCGCCGAAAGCGGGCCAGAGACAAAGTGGTTCGCTCTGCTTGACGACGACACGTTCTTTCCGCACCTGGAGCCTTTATCCACGGCACTCAGCTCTCTTGATCACGAAAACAAAGACCTTTATGTTGGCGGGCTGACGGAGGACTGGGGCTCTCTCACGCGATTCGGTCTCATGGCTTATGGCGGTGCTGGCGTATATCTCTCTGCACATCTGGCCAGGAAGATCGGGAACCTGGACCAGCTCCTCCAGTGCATCGAGGAGTCCCCGCCTCAGTTGGGAGACATAATCATCCGTGACTGTGTCTACCGCCACAGTAGGGCGCGTCTGACCGTGCTGCCAGATCTGTAAGTCCTTCCACCCCAACATTGATGTCTTGTGACAAGAGTCTAACCTCTTCGATAAGGATATCAACATGATTTGCTGGGCGACCTGCGCGGCTTCTTCGAATCTGGCGTTGAGCCTTTGAACTTGCACCACTGGAAAAGCTGGTACAGCGAACCTGTAGTTTCCATGGCGCAGGCGACGAACTTTTGCGGGTAATTCATTCTCGTGAAGCACCGGGGTCCCAGCAACGTGTATGCTGACTAGGCGAGCTTGTGCCACAGGAACTGCTTCCTTCAACGATTCATCTTTGGCAACGATACTGTCCTTAGTAATGGCTACTCGATCACCGTGTACCCAAAGGGTGTGGATTCGCTTGATCTGAACAAGATAGAGCGAACATGAGGCAACGTCTATGCAGGCAAGGACCCGAAGTACGAGTACAGCATGGGGCCGCTGCGCGACAGGGTGCCCGACAGTGATCACAAAACGTACTACCTCAAGTACACGGAAGTCAGGGCAGATCTCATGAGACAGCTGTATGTGTGGAAAGGAGTTGAAGACCGTGGGGTGCCTGACGAAGTTGTCGAGCTGGTTTGGAGGAGATGACTCAACGCCAGGGTCATATCCTGCTCCGGAAATGGCAGAATGTCATGTCGGGTAGGATTTTGTTCGGTTACAAGGCCTCAGAGGAAGCACATGTACCTCGAAAACTATCTGACAGTCACAGAAATATGGCGATCAGCAGGCAAGAAGGCAAAGCGTGGAAGCATGAATCACTATGCCGACATTGACAGACTACTCGTCCTCCTCGCTGTTCCTCCTTCTGATGACCGCAGAGCTGAGTCCTTTGGGACTCGTTATGCATGCCTGGACACGGTATGGCGCGAGGACGATGTACACCGGGAACTGAGTCCTAGAATCAAGACGGGAATCAAGACGGGGAAGGCAACCTCGAGTTTTACCAGCAGAAATCTATCAAGAGATAGGCAGCCGTCCAGCAGTCGGCGCGTACGTGTGCAGCCCCCTTGTGCGTGCGCCGAGTCTGCCTGCTAGGCTCGACACAATCCCCCGAAATTGGTGAAAAGGAGCTGGGCGGCCGCACCGCCCTGAGGCTCGTGCTCTGTAAGAACCCCGACGATGACCTCTCGAGAGGGCCATGCAATGAACGTGTGACCAGTGATGATCGCTTTGGTTTCTAATCGAGTACGGGGCGGGGACATTCATTCGGCTGCTGGCAAGCGCGTTGCATGGCAACCATTAAAGATGGCACAGCTGCTTTGGCCCGGCGCACATTGTCAGCGACGGCACCCTCAAAAATTTTACATTCAGCGACCCGGAGCTCGGGCAGACCGGTGCTGCAACGGGTTTAAAAAGCGAGCCGAGTCCTAGGCGGCCGAGCATTATGGTGCGATATAGCAAACACGCTGCAGTAGCTACGCGAATGGGCTTTGCGTGACTGCGCATCGGAGTCACAGGGCATGGGTCGCACAGCGGTCGTAAGGCGGCACGTTGGAACAAATGAAACCTCCCTCGGATGCCGGACTGGGCTGTCGCCACGAGCCCGCCACAGCGCAGCGACCGCGGCGGCCCATGGCTTCCTTCGGTTCTTGCTTACCGGCTCAACATGTAAGTTGGTCGAGGCAGTGTCGCCCGGCGGGTCGGTCGCCAGGGTGCAATCGCGGTCTGGGTCATGAGCCATGCACAGCACTTGGTTGGCGCTGCCCAGACTGTCGATGCTTTGTTTGAGAATGCAAAGAGTGCGTGCAAAAAGAACTCCCAGGAAAGTCATCATATCATCGGCTCAGAGGAATGCAGCCTCGTATTGAAAATTACGGTTCATTGTCGGCTTCAGGTGGCCATAATGAAACTGCCCGTCTGCTCTGAGGGCTTGGCCTCGGACTGGTCCTGGGGCCCCCTGGTGAAGGTCTGATTGTGCGCCTCATGCTTGCCCTCTTTTGAGCTTGCGCGGTGGCAATGACCCTGGAAGTGTCCTGACATGCAAAGGCCACCTACCCGCTACTCGCGAATGTTCGTTGCAGGCGGGGATACTCAGCTCCTGCTTGCCGTCATGCTTGCGTCCGCTGAAGGCAGCCAAACCTCCCTCCAGCCATGTTTGGTGAGTCTGTGCGGCCACCTGGCGAAGCCTCGGGCCGCCACAATGCGGTCAGCTACCCCTTGAATTATCAGGACAAGCGTCCCTGCGATGCTTCGGCTCCTTCATGCTGGCTAATAAGCAGAGCACCCCGGGGGGACATATCTCCAGGAGAGCGGGAGCACTTGCAGTGCGAGCTCCACGGGTGACTAGGTGGCGTTATGTGGTGCAAAGGGGTTGAAGGGGGCCCACTTTGAGGGGCTGCCAGGCACCCAGCGTCGCTGGCTGTCAGGCATCCGCCGTCAATGCACCTTGTCACTAGGTGCTCAAGACCGCACTTTCCCCGGCAGCCATCACCAGGCCATCGCTCTTTTCTCCATCATCAACATCAACCCCGATCTGCTTCACGGGTGCACAAGCCAGCACCGAGGTAAGCGTACCATTCGAGACCGCCTCCAGCACCTGCCAATACACCAGACAGGGCGATTCTGAATCGTTGAGTCTGCATTCGTCTGCTGACTCCGCCAGCACCTCTTCTTTCTTAGTGGACAGAGACCAAGCCAAACATGCTTCGTCTACAAAGTCTCTGGGCAGAGGCAGTCGCCATCTCACCAAGTGGCAAGGAAGACCCGCCAGAAGAACGTACACATGGACGAGTTGTTTTCCCAACTTGGCCCTGAGGCCGGCTCCCACGATTGCAGCCGTCACACCCGTCACCTGAATGATTGACGCCAAGCAAAAGCGCAAGGTCTAATCGGCGCGTCCGCAGGTCTCATGATCAACGCAGCGATGCACGAGAACCAGCTCTGCGTCCCGGCAGCCTAGGAGGACTGGGATACAGATACCAAGGATCTCTTGCAAGAGCTCTGTGAAGGCGTTATCCACTACATCTTGTCGCTCGACGAGCGCTTCCGCTTCGAGCACAAAGTCGTCTTCGCCGCAGTCAACATTGCTCTCCGTGCCATCCTCAAACCTGAAAAATGGGCCATTTTTGAGCCGACCAGGGAGGTGCTCTACGCGAAGGTCGGCAGCGCATGTCTTGACATGGCACTCGGCCTCACTGCAGTCCACAGAGCCATCGTTGAGGCGATGCTGGAGACCGCAGTCATGGATACAGATCGCCAGCTCTCCATGGACAGCATTCTCAGCACACGGGCGAGCATCCTGCACCGCATTGGCCACTGCGTCAACGGCTCAACCCCAATCCACTTCCTCGACTTTGTGTATCCTCCCGATTCGCGCACCCCCTTGGAGCAATACATACGCTTCGAAGTCTTGCGTGTCCTCCGGGCTGCACTGGTGGAGCCGTCTTTCTTCTCTTGCTCTGCGAGCCAGATGGTGGCTGCGGCAGTCTCTGCAACGTGGCGTCGTCGGTTCGGAATCCCCTGGGCGGAGCCGCTCGATTCCCTTCCTGGTCACCATTACGAAGAAATCAAGTGGATAGCGGACCTTCTGTAATGTCGCAAGTGAGTTGCGGGGTGCGGTGATTCCCGGCTCATACTCTCTACAAGAATGTCTTATGTGTATGGGAAGGACGTTCGTAAAACAATGTCAAGGGTACCCATAGATTTCTTGCCCTACGGAACCTCCTCGCCGCGGTCTGGGAAGGTGAGACATAGTGTCTGGCAGTGTAGGTGCGGGCCATTCGTAGGCGAATCGACATTTGTATGTACATAAAGCTGGTCAATGTATCTCTCGTTTAGTTACACTTCCTGTCAAGAATTTGCCCGAACCTTGCTTGTCTCAGCCAGCAATATGTGTGACCTGATCTAGCGAGACGAAGGTTAGCTAATTGCCTCCCCTACCATCTGGCGGCAAGGAGTAAGCCGCTACCAGGCGCTCTTCCCACTTGGTATGTAATACAACTTCCTACATATTGTTGCCCCTCTGTTCATGCAAGTTTAAGTCCGCGTCGAACCACGTCCTCTCCTGCAGCAGGGACGCGGAGCGGCGTTCCGCCTGGTGCGCTGTGGCCGATGTCCCACCCCGAACAAGCCGTAGATAATTGTTTTTTTGTTTTTCTTTTGGGCCGAAGACGACGGCCCACAAGCCCAGCCAGTCCGACGTGCTGAGCTTGTGGGATGCCCCGTGACCGAATACCGAGGGAGCTCACCGCTGTTGTGGTGGAGTCCTGTTTCAGCACTGGGGCGGGGGCGGCTCTGTCGCATGTGTACAACATCCACCATGTCCTGCCAGCTCCTCCTCCCTAAAGTGGCAAGTGGGGTGGGGCAACGCGGCTCAACATTCGTCAGGTCTTTGATAGGCCATCGCGTAGCACGCATCGTGCACGATTATGCCAAGCCCAATCGGAAGGATGATGATCATGATGGCACGTCTTTATTTCTAAGGTTTTTCGAACCTGTCTGCCATTTTTCTCGGTGCTATTACGTATCTGGCCCAGGTCCCCGTTGATCCCGTTAGAAAGCGAACGGACGCCAAGCCAATTGTTTGTTTACGTTCTGTCGGCTAGACCCCAGCATCTGACTCCACCCTTCGTCTCGCCCAGCTGGAGCGGTTTGTTTGTAGTACAGTAATCTTAAATGCGGTGTTGGGGTGGTTGGGACCGCTACTCACGCGACTTTAGGCACGGCTGTGGAGAAATTTCCACGCCCGTGGAAAAGCTGCCACGCCTGTGGAGAAAATTCCACGCCCGTGGAAAAGCTTCCACGCTCGTGGAAAACTTCCCCAGCGCCCCGCATTTCGCGAACCCCCTTTTGGCCAAAGCGACGTCTCTCAATCATCTTTGCGTCTTCATTCTCCGTGTTATCACTGCCTATGGAGGCTATGAAGTATTTTGCCCTGGGCCGGGCTAAGATCGACTATAAAAGTGACGGCGCCCCACCATGCGGTTGGACATTTCCTTCATTCGAAGATTTAGAACGGATCGTGTCAGTGTTTGTCAGCCGACATGGATACAAGGCCAGAACGAAGGAGAAGAGGGAGAGGACCCGATTCTATGTCTGCGGATATAAACAATGTCCCGTTGCGTGGAGCGCACAACGAGTGGTCGACAAGTTTCCTCCGCTCTTAGATTCGCTTGAGGTGGTCCGCACACAATATTCAACCACGATCAGCCACAACCACCAGCTTACCGCTCGTCCGGAGCCAAAACCCCTTCCAGTCGATATGATCTGGCTCGGAGTCCCATTTGGCCCTCTGGTTGAGGAGGGTCGATCTGACTCCGCTATACCATTAGGTGTTCCGATGTCTCAGGAGGGGAAGAGGCTAAAGTCGTCTGCTCTCGATCTAGTAAATGTCGAGCCGCATTTCAAACACCAAGAACATGACGATGACGAGACCGTATGGGTCTATGAGCCGTTGATCATGGCGATCTCGGCAACCATCAAGAACCCATGCCTTACGATGTCGGCGACTTTAACATGGAGTGCAGACTTGTTCCGAGACCTTCGCGAACAGCTTGCCGATGCCACATCTGAGAGGAAGAAGCTCGTTCTTCTCAGATGCATGTCAACGCCCATCCTGGTGCCGGAAGGGCCCTCTTTCGATGAATATTGCGAATATATGAAACTGTTTATGGACAACAATGCTTTTATTAAAGCATATCCTACCACGGAGGAGGCAACATTCCAGGCAAGCAAAGTTGGCGATCTTAGAATCCTCGACGAGTGGGCCGCAAAATTCGACGGCCAAGGAATGAGCTGGCTCGCATACCGACCCATAACGTGCGATGGTGGGCTATCGGCGACGTGTAACCTGCCACCCTCTCATGGTGGCCGCATGGTTATCAAGCCGACACATAGCAGCAGTGGAGAGGGAGTCAAGCTTGTTAAAGTCAGCAATCGCAAGGGACTGAAGTGCCGAATCCCTGGGAACAAATGGGATGCCGATATTCAGCCCAGGAACCATCTCTTCCACCAAGAGTATGTCGACTCATTAGTCAAATTTGGCGAACTTCGGGTCTGTATGGTGCGTGATCTATCTCAAGAGGCTATAGACGGTCTCATTCCCCCAGGTAAGATCATTAGTATCACTATCACCAGACCAACCACTTCTGCCGGCAAGGTTCAATTCTCGGATATGAATCAGAGTCCATTCAGTCACGAAATATTTGGGGAAGGAGTTGGGGATGAGCACGCTCAAAAGCGCAAGTATCATGAACTGAAGCAGTTCGCCTCTCTGTGGTTTGCCATTCTTTTTAGGCTTGCCGATTTTGAACCTGATCTTGCCTCACTTAAGGATGGCGTACGTATCGACATTGGCATCTCAGAAGTCGCAACCGATGGGCGATTTTTCATTAATGAAGTCACACGATTGTGGAATGCGTCAAGCTTTTCAGAGGGGAACTCTACTAACGTTCAAGAACAATGGGGCGAAGCTATTGGCCATTCGTGTACACAGCCTCGATGTTGGCAGCAATACCCCGAGCTGTTAGAGACTCTTGGGACAGAAGGAAGTGAGGTGGGCTTACCTGGACGCCCCGCGAAGCGACAGCGGCCCGGATAAAGACGTACTTTCAACATCTCGTCTTGCTGGTTATTATCAATTCTTTATTCGTCTCCATAGCTTTCCTACTATATTCAATCAATCGGGCTTATACTTGCCGCACGGAGCTAAGCCGCAATGCGAAGCTGTGCTGCTTTTTCTACTTATCCTGGCCAAGTCTATTAGCGTACGACCATCCTCGTCGCGGTTATCAATGTCGGCGCCGCTATCTAGCAGTTTCTGCATAACGTCGTCACGCCCCCAAGATGTCGCCCATGACAATGGAGTCTTCCATCAATATCTCGGCTATTCACCTGAACGCCTCTCGCTAGCAGCAGATCTATAATGCTGATGTATCCCTTTTCGGCAGCTAATGATATCGGCGTCCGACCATGAATGTCTTTACTGTCGGGCTCTGCGCCACTGTCTAGCAGCAGCCGCACGACGGCTTCGGCCCTGTTGTAGACAGCCCATGCGAGCGGTATCCGACCAAAGGAGTCTCTTTCGTCAATTCTGGCGTCTCTATCGAGCAGCAGCATCACATTCCGCTCGCATCCCATGCCGGCAGCCCATGAGATCGGTGTCCGACCGGTCTCATCTGCACGATCAACCTCAGCGCCGTTGTTGAGCAGTAGCAGCACTACCTCGTCGTGCGGATTGCTAGACGCCCATGAGAGTGGCGTCCGGCCGGCCCGATCCGGGTAATCTACCTCGGCGCCTTTGTGAAGCAGTAGCTGCACAAGATCTGCGAATCCGTTCTCAGAGGCACAAGCTAATGGTGTTCCCACGTTACCACGAAAGTTGATATCAGCACCTCTCTCTATTAGTAGCCGCACCGCCTTTGTATGCCCTTCGTTGACAGCATACATGAGCGGCGTGAACGCAGGCATCAGCATCGTCATAGTACCATTTGTGGCACTAATTAGCGATCTGGTCAGACGTGCAGCTGGTCTCGGGCTAGACTGTCAGCAGTGGCAGCCAGCACAGGCAACCGGGCGAGAGGAGAAGCCGCGGGTGTCACGGCTCGTCTTCGTCAGCGCAGATCAGGTCAATAGCACAGAGTTCTCGACTTATACGGACTGGCTGCGAAGCCGGGGTCTGCTCAAGCGGTTCTTTGTCGACGAATGCCATACGATTATTATGGACGCTAGCTATCGAAAGTGGCTTACGGAGCTGAAGTGTATCTACCGGTACGGCTGTCCGGTCATCTTACTGACAGCTACACTACCGGTGCGGCTTGAGGCTTGGTTCCGCCAGATAATGCTTGCAGGGGACGCCGAAATCATCCGAGCAAGGACCGACAAGAAGAACATCAGCTATAACGTCATGCAAGTCACGGGACCAGGTCGGAGCGCAGTCGAGGACGAGGTCGTATGCCTTATTGGCGTTTCAGATTCCCAGGCGGGGTTCTGTCAGAAGTGGGGCCTATGCCTAACAAGGAAGGAATGATCACCGACAAAAATGAGTTGCCCTTCGCCGTCCGTCGACCCTACCTCACACATCTCGCAGCTGCCCCCCTCTGGGGTTCACATTCCCAACTCTCTAGTAGAACGAAGCTAAGGCTACGGTTTAAGTTTTCTGAGGTCGTCGAGCCACACTTAGACCTAGGAAGGCAATTTTATTCATCGCACCCAAAGTGCCGTCGCCGGGCAAGCTGTGGCAGTGCGACTAACCCCTCAGCTTTCTCTTCGTTCAAGCACGGGGCATAAGTTGTCCTTCCTTCCTGATTCGGTAAGTAGTGAAGCCACCCGCACAGTCGCTGGAGGTCGTCCACGTAGCGTCCCAATCCGGCGTCCTGAGTCAACCAAATTAACCGGGTGGTTACGGGTTGAAGATGTGATAGGTACAACGCCCTAAGGAATATTACCTCCGTACATGTAGTACTCTCTCGATCGGGTGTCGTGGCTTTCACAGAAGATACCGCTCCGGTGCAATTCAGTGACTGGGTCAAGTGTACGATTAGAACCCTAGATTGAGTCTGATGAAAAGTCACGACTATCTGGCTTAGGAACCTCCATAGCAAATTGCACCTTTCCTCCATGCCAGGTTTTCATAGAAATGTCCTGGTGGTCGCTCGATCCCTGACTGGCTGTCAGTTGCTTCGCACCAACATTGGGAACCATGAATCGGTGCCTGTTTCCTGATATGGACCCTTATCGATTACTGCTTATCTAATCTGCACGTCGTTGTTTTACCCCACGTGCATGACCTGTCCGAGAGTCACGAAGGGAATACGCGACCAAGACTACACAAGCCGTCTAACAGGAACGCGACAGCGCTGGAAGTCTTAATCAATCCCGTGATCACACCCAACCCATAGAGTGGAACGAGTCGGTCCCTGATCGATCAACCTCACGGCAGGTCTATGACCTCAGCACGCACGTAACAGCAGAAGCTAGTAATGAAGGACGCGGTTCTCCTGCATTCATTGATGGTGATGTCCTCGTGGGGGCAGGAGCATCAAGTATGGTCGCGGTACCCCAGGCCGCGGAATCCATCATTGGTACTTTTTTCAAATACAGGGTGCCAGACAGGGAGTGGTTACCCTTTTATATCGCAAAACCTGATCTCCACCCATGCTAAGCTCTAAGTCGAGCAATGCCGCAGGTGTGTCCCATGTCGGAGATCAGGATGTAGATGTCCCGATGTTACTTAAGCTGGGCAGGCCCGTTTCTGACGGCTTAATAGCGACTTGACGGCCGCATATTCAACCGTCAAGGCGTGGGACTGGCGTCTACCATCTTTATAGACAGCGGCAGCCCCTAGGATTGCTTGGCTTCGCGGCTGAAGATATGAAGGACGTGGAGGTAGGGCTCACTCGTAGGACTCGCAAGCCTTAATTATCAAACGCTTGCTAAAACGCCTCAAGATATCGATCGATGGGAGCAGCTGATTTGCATACTGAACAGGAGGTTTTGGAGAGAATGGAACATTGCATCGATGGTCCGCTAGCCCCAAGGAGATGTCACTCTTGATTCTCCTCAATAGCACCGGTCGCTTCTCTTGGAAGTGGACCAGGCCGAGGGCCGAGATAGAGGAGCCCGATTATGGTGATAGCCACAAGACATAGAAGCCATTTGATGCTGACAGGCGTATGGCTCTCTTTGATGTTGCGAAGAAGAATCTTGAGACAATTTGTCATGATTGAACATCAACATCAAATTAATCGCCGACAGCCGTGTAATCCAACGAATTGACAGTGTCAACACGTCGATATTACTGTGTTGTCGAAGCTGATGACCTCAGGAAACCGCTTCCACATCTGGAGGCAGTACGGAAAGGTCCAGACAAGACCGACGAGGCGGTTTGGCTCATCATCCGCCCACTTAACAAGATAGGGAATCTCCATCTCGTCGAACAGCTTGATCAGTGCTGCAGTAGGAGTGTGGCCGCTCAACTTGTCTCGGCTGATACGAGACCTGGCGTTATAGATATCCTTTCGTGTAAAGGATGACTCGGGATTCTGCTCCAGGACGATCGCGCGTACGTCACGGGCCCGAATTCCGATCCGACGGCTTGTCGATTCGACTGTTGCCCTGATAGGTGTAGTGAGTCGTCTGTGGGAGGGATGGGCGGATGGTTTGATACTGGCCCCGTGGTTATGCTGGCTATGCTCGGAATTATCGTGGTGTCGTAGAAGCCATCTACCCTCCTCCAGTGCTTCGGCAATGACCATCCATTTACAACCACACTTTCGAGACTTCCGTTGCCGAATACCGGTACTCTCTGAGGGGCGTGGTTCTCCGAATCGATCGCATTGGAAAGAGTACCGGATCTTCCGACCCTTATATGAGTAGGCATTTCGTCGAACAATACCGAAGCCATTAGCCTTCGCGAAAGTATTCACCCACTCGAACAGGACTTCGGCTGACGGCGCTGGGTCGCCTGGGATAGGTGGGTTCGGGATCGGGTCAGGGACAGGCGACAAGGGGTGGTCGGGCGAGGGCGGCGAGGGCGATAGGCGGAGAGTGCCTTTCTCGGCGAGGCGAGTATGGCGGAGATGATTCGAATGCAGTTGAACTGAGCGGCGAGTAGCCCCATATCTCGCGCCATTGGCGGACTCGTTCGTATGACCGGACGAGCTCGATGGTAAGTCTTCGATCTGTCCCAATCACCTCGCGCACTAGCCTAAGGGCGGACTGAAACTGGGGTCTTGTTGGAGAGAATTGTTCTTGTGCTGATTGTTGTGGAGAGCAGGCAGGTGGCTGGTCGATTTCCGGGCCTGGTATAGGCATTCTTACTCGTTGCGACCGTCTTCCTCGGGTTGGGAAATCATTCGATAGGTGAATCTCATGATCGAATCGCAGCTCCCATGGTGGCTCGTTCAGCCCACGCGATCCATGGGGGCGTGGAGCGGTCGTGAAGGTCTCTGGGTACGAGGCGAAAGCATTATAGAGTGCCTCGTCGTCTCCCACGCCATAGGTGGGCCAATGCTCGTCCCTGTGCTATTAGACGAAGGTGGTCTTGAACTCTCAGATTGGTTCTGCCGCTGTCGTTTTCGAGGACGTAATTGATAGCTTCGTAGTCGTTGGTTGCTTGCTGAGCTAGATCGAGAGTCGGGCTGGGACATAATGACGGCCTTGATCGCGACAGGAAGAGTGTCGCACGCACGGATGAGAGCATGGTTAAAGGGGCAGTTGATTTGACTATGAAAGAAGGAAAGAGGGGACCAATTTCAGCACAAAGGAATGACCTGCTTTGTGATGCAGATGCCTTGGAAGATGAGGCTGTTGGATATTCCTGGTACAGCGTGTGTTTGAGTGTTGGTCTCAGCAGGGGGCCTAACACACCACGCCTGGAGCCCTGGGACCTTGACAAATATGGTATCTTTCACGAACAATCATTATCAGTAGGCTTGACATGCGACAAGAGGTAATTGGTGTAGTAGCTAGCTAGTGAATAGCTTCCATATGTGTCGTCGATCGTCGTGGTGGAGAGCTAATCCCGAGGTACAAGGGAAGCGTTGGCAGAATCTAGATGCACTAACAAAAAGGGATGGACCAATCAGAGGCTGCAAAAGGTCATGCCCGTGTAAGAGTCATGCCCGGGTAGCAATTCTTCATGCCCGTGTAGTAATGGCCTTTTCAAAAGGCCCTCGGCAGCCCGAATGTGTATGAAGGGGCTTGTTCACATCGACTACACAGGAATTTTCTTCTTTTTCTTGCCCATAGTTCATTAACGCGGCCGACGTGCTTCTCTCTTCTCCTCGTTGCGGCGTCATGGAAGCGCAGAACATGCCATATTTTCGAGTCATAATAATCGGGGCCGGGCTGGTCGGGCTGACAGCAGCGCACATCCTTTACCAGGCCGGTATCGACTTCGTGGTGCTGGAGAAGCACGAGACTATTGTCCCGACAGTCGGCTCTGTTATGACAATTTGGCCTCAGACTTCCCGTGTGTTCCAGCAGCTAGGCCGCGACGAAGTTCTCAGCCCTCATTTGGAGTCCTTGCAGTCAAGCATGGTTATTTCAGCCGAAGATGCGCAGCAGCTTGACGACGCTAATCTTCCCGGTTCGATGGAGAAAAAGTACGTTACGAGTGAAGAACCTTGATTTCTGTCTTGTTGTTATGCTGACTCTTTGTATCAGTCATGGCTGGGGCCTTCGCATCCTGCTCCGCACCCAGTTTGTGGGAGAACTATACAATAGTCTCCCGTCGACAGCGAAATCACGTATCTACCTTGGCAGACAAGTCGAAGGCGTGTCCATGGACGAAACTAGTGTCCGAGTTACTTGCAAAGACGGTGTCACAGAAGAGGGGTCTTTACTGATCGGAGCAGACGAGATTCGTAGCCAGACCCGCCTGTTGATGGAAGCTCTGCGACAGCACAAAGCACCTCACGACTTAGACCAGAGATATCAGAGACCATATATGTCAACATATAGGGTACTTGTCAGCCAGATTGAGCGGCTACCAGGCGCGTCGATGAACGTGAAGTGCGACAGTGTCCACTATGGGGTGACAACGCAGTTTTTACACAGCAGGAAGGTCTCTTGTTTCGCCATTTATGAAAAGCTGAAAGTGCCAAGCTCTGAACGGTGTCGGTACACCGAAGCTGACAAGCTTCAGATGCGACAGCGGTGGAAACATCTGATGGTTATGCCTGGTTACTCAGTAGGCGATCTGCGAGAAGCGAACCCAGGGAACGTTGGGCTTTATGACTGTGAGGAGGGATTGGTGTCGAAGTGGTATCACAAACGGATTGTACTGGTTGGCGATGCCGTGCGGAAGCTTGATCCACATACAGGCATGGGTTACAATGAGGGTGTGACCGATCTGGTGGTGCTCATTAATGGGATTCGGCACATGCTGCACGCAAATCAGTCGAATGGGTCGGGAATTGTTGGGTTGGAGGAGATCCTAAGCGAGTACGAAAGGCTGAGATTGAGCAAAATGGCTATGGTCATGAAGGTCTCCCGAACGTTTGCGAGAATGGCAGGGTGGCTTTCATGGAAAGACATGGTGATGGCCAAGTACGTGCAGCCATATCTAGGGCTCAGCCAGCTCTGCGTGACGCATATCCTGGGCCCAATGATCAGTAAGTCACCGGTAGTAGATTGGATACAAGAGCCTCAACTACCACCCTCGGCCATTGAGTGGACGTATCGCCCGCTGAGTCACAGAGACGACTAGCTATTCACAACCGTGAATAAATATACCAAGTATGACATGCTCCTATTCATGTATACTCGTTCGCTTATGATCGTACACCCCACGGTGTTTGTCTTGCGTCTAATCTGGACCGCTGCTATTGACTGGTTCTGGAAGCTCACAACCGGAGCCAGGTCTAGCTCGGCCTGTCCGCAGATGATAGAGGTGTTTGGTGCCGGTCGCTGGCATAAAGTAGACGAGAAGGCCTACAGATATGCCACAATCCCCCACCGCTAAGACAACACGCTGTTTGGGCAGATAATTACTGTCGTCGTAATTGGTCGCGCTGTGAGCGGGGTTACTATCGCTTAGTCGTGCTGCGATTTGCGATATTGAGCTGTTGCTGTGGCATCGCAGCTATTCTTCTCTCGAAATCACCGCGAATACTCCGTGGGAGACAGCTCGGACATGATGAAGCTGGCTATGCGGTCATAGTTCGCATTTGAGAACGGATAGTTGTAATGTGACGGAAGGACAGTTGGTACCAAGGTGACAACAGTAAATATGGCGTGATGGTTGTACTTAGCTAGAACCGCGGGGTCCCCCTAGCCCCTGAGCTTGGACGCGCGGATCGTCTGGTCGCATTGCCGTGTTCAGGCCAAATTGGAAGCGGAGCTCTAGGACGTCTTCTGTATATTGTCTGCTGATTGCCTTGGGATATGTGGTGAGTATCTTGAGCAATATCCTTGGAGACTGCCCTCATGCGGAAATAAGCATGCCACGCCTAGCTTGTGTCGTGTGGCGCGCACGTAGCGGCGTTGAGCCTGCGCGAAGGCGCTTTGATATGCTGGCCAAGCGATCGACGTCCTGCTACTCTTATCCGATAGGCTAAGAATGATGTTCCTTCGCGGGTATACCATCCAGCCGGGGCCGTGCTCGGCGTCAACCTGTTGTCCTGGGTTTAGAGACGTCAGCGTTACTCACTGCTGGTGCCTCGTTGCGACCTGTGCAGAATTTGCGATCCTGAATGTGAGTATGCCGGCTTGGAGCTGGCACCGGGCTCGGGTGCTTCGAAGCTGGAGACAGTAATAGCAACAACAAGACCTTTATCTGAAGCAGAGGCGCGGCGCCAAATCCAACACCTGTTCAGACGAAGGGATCTGTGTGGTCCCAGGCTGCTAGGTTCTGCAAATCTGTGTGACTGATGGGATTTGCCGAGTCCCCAATCAAGCGTCGCCGGGGAATTTGTTGCCGTCGAAGCATAAGGTTGTTCAACTTGATTATAGCTTGGGGCAGGTTCGAAACTGTGCGTGCTGCGGTGCGAAGCGTTTCGCAGAACCTGGGCGCTCTGGAAGTCCACTTGTAATGTTGGATCACTTCTCGACCCCAGATCTTGCCAACGGTCCTCAGACTTATAAGGCGCTTAGAGTCAGCTATAGCAACGCGAATGAAGCGCTCTCACTCCTCTGTCTCGTCGTCTTTCTGGTTTGTCGCCGGGACACTGGTCTCCTTGAAAGTTCTGTACGCCGCGCATTCGTCCAGCATGACATGTTCGTACACAGCAATCAGAAGCTGCAAATCGGCATGCCTTCGGAGCAGGTCATCTCGTGTCCTGGTACAAAGCCGATATTTGTCCGCGTCGGTCTCGTGGTGGCGGATCTCTTCCTGAAACCGGGCAATTTCCTTGAGTTGAACGTCACCCAGCACGAAGGAGTCGTCTCCGAGTCCGTTATCGGGTTCGGTTTCGGGCAACCCAGCCGTGGCCGGACGCCCAACGAACGCATGCGCCATATTCGCAGCAAGCTGTGGTCGTGTCGAAGTGACCAGCAGCAGCTGATGGTCATCGGTGACCCACCTAACTTTGTGGATTGTCCACAAAGCTTGGTGGGTCCATCGCCGCAATCCTATTGGCCGCCA